TAAACCCACAGAATTTCAGATGGACTCACAGTCCTGGCGCTCAGGTGACAGCCAGGACCAGGACACGAGGCTCCCGACTTCCTGTGTCGCGCCAGCGCCTTCCAGCCCAGGCCCCCCTGCGCTCTGGGGCCCTCAGCAAACCTTGATTCCGCCCAGACCGTGGGCGGGCCGGTCCGAACGCCAAGGTCGGGCCGATGGCCGCCCTGCTGGAGGTGGAGGCCGAGGGGAACGCGACCAGCCTCACAGGCCTCAGAGGCCCGGCCCCCACCCCCGTGACGTGGACACAGCTGTCGCAACGGCTGCGACACTTCCCTGCACGGCCTGGGCGCTCCGGACACAGCTGGTGGCTCCTCCTTCCCAGAGAGGGAAGAGCAAGTCTCCGTGGGTGCGGGCAGGGAGGGAGCCTCCGCAGGAGGTGCCCGTGGGCCGCCTTCACGCTGTGTCCCCGCTCACAGCCAGTGTGAACGTGCCACTGGCCTGACGCTCAAGGAGTGAGGTTATTGGCGGGGCTGGACAGGCAGCCAGGATGTCCCTCCCGCTGGACATCCCCACCCCCACGGCCCCACCCCCGCCCCACGCCCCCCAACGATGCGCAGACCAGGGCTGACAAGGTGCTACGGGCTGAGTGGCCCCCGAATTTCTGTGCTGGAGCCCTAACACCCAGCGCCCCAGCGCGGGGCTGTGTCCGGGGACAGGTGATGTAGGTAAAATCAAGTCATGTCCATTTCGGGGCGGGGGCTCATCCAACGTCCTGGCTTATTTATAAGGAGAGAGGAGGACACAGTCGGGCACAGTGGAACGCCCGCGTGAGCACACAGGGAGGAGACAGCCGTCTACGCACCGAGGAGCGAGGAGCGAGGCCTCGGGTGGAGCCAGCCCTGCCCACACCCGGATCCGCGACTTCCAGCCTCCGGGACATTTCCGCTGTTTAAGCCCCGTCCCTGTCCCCACGCTCCTCCACTGTCTCACAGTTGAATGAAGACGGCTCCCAAACGGGGGCACGGAGGGCACGCTCTGTGCCAGGCCTTCACGGGGGAGGTTTCCACTAGTGAGTGTTCAGGCAGCCCCTGGGAGCACTGCACCCCCGCCCCCGCCCCAGCATGGGGAGAGCCCTGCTGGGCACCGTGGGCCGCCCACACGGGGCACAGGGCACCACGGGGTAGGGGCTCCTGGAGCCGGCCTGTGGCACGGGCTGGCCGCGCGGGGAGAGAGGGCCGAGGTAGGAAGGTCTGCGTTCTGGTCCGGCTTGGCCGCACGCTGCTGTTGGGCCGGAGCAAGCAGTCCCTCCTCCCAGAGGCCCTGTGTCCTCCGGCCTCCGAGGGGCGCTGTTGCTCCACTGAGTGAGGCAACAGGTGTGGGACGGAGGCTCTGAGCCGGACCCTGAGGCCGGCTTCCTGGTCCCCACTTCAGATAAGAAAACCAAGGGCTGGAGGTGAGAACTCACTTGCCCAGGGTCCCCGGCGGCCGGGTCGGCCTGTCCCGGGCCATCAAATGCAGGTGCCAGAGGCAGGCTTGGAGCGTCCTCCCAAGGGCAGCTGAAGGGGACTGGCCCCGAGGCGACCTGCTCCTGTGGGCAGGTGTGGGGACAGCTCTGGCCTCTCTCTCTGCTGGGCCCCAGCGCCTGTGTGCTCCTGGAGGGCCATCGGACACCTGGGGCCGCCCCCGCTCCCGCTCGGCTGCCTGTGCGCCCCGCCCGTAACAGGGGCAGGAGGGGGGGAAATTGAGGGGCGCCCCGGGAACAGCCGGCCCATTTCCCAGCCAGGCAAGGCCTCTGGGAGCCGGTGGCGCCTTAAGACGGGGACGGGCAATGAGACACCAGCCCACGGGCAGCGACACTCAGCGCCGGTCTGGCTTGCAAGGGAGGTGAGAAGCTCACACAGCGGCGCGCGGGAAGGTGGGCAGCCGGAGCCCAGCCTCCGCTCGGGTGCACCCGGCCCGGTGTGCTGTGTCCGGGGGGCAGGTCACACCGGCCGCGGCCCCTGCGGTCGGCTGGGGCTGCGCAGAGCCCGGGACCACAGCGAGTCCCTGCCACGGGGGAGCGCCGCGCGCGTGCGCGGGCAGGCGGGCGCGGGCCGGCCCCAGGCATCACGCGATTGCGGGCACCAAGAACAGCGCACCTGCCACCACAGGCGCCCGTGTTTCTGGGCGTGTCAGGCCCCGGCGGACGAGGCCGGCACCGCGCGCACTCCAGGCTCCCCAGAGCTGAGGGTGGGCCGAAGCTTTAAACGACCCTGGGCTTAACCGGGTTCAGGAGGGCCGGGCGCTGGGCGTCGGCCTCCACCCGTCGTCTCCGGGCAGGGGGATCGGCCTCTTTCCAGCCGGAAGGCAACCTGGGTGCAGACGCGCGCCCAGCCACAGAGGGGCTGGGACTTGGGGCGCGTCCCTCGCCCTCCCTGATCCCCAGTTTCCACGCCTGTGACAGGGAGAGATGTGAGTGTTCCCTGCTGCCGCTGCCACCGGAGGCACAGGCGGGCCCAGCACCACGGAGCCCTGGCAGGTGCCGACGCTCTTAGCGCAGCCACCGGAAGGCCATCGCCCCCTGCAGGCCGGCCCACGGGCCGGGCCGCCCAGTGTGGGGACGTCTCCCTGAGCTTCCTCATGGGGGAGGACCTGGCCTCCCCACCTGCTCCCGGCCGGATGAAGTGGACACCCGTGTCTGTCAGCTCGGACCCGCCATCACGCCCCTGCTCCCCAGCAGAGGGTACAAGGCATGTGTCCTGTCTGCCTGACTCTCAGCTCCGAACAGAGGCCAAAGCTCAGACGCCCGATCTGAGTTCCAAGGGTTGAAAGCGTTGGTGACCAGCACGGGTGGCTGACAGAGGAGATCCACAGGTCCCTGGGGAAGAGCTGGAACCCCGAAAGTCAGCACGCTCGTCTTCTTTTACTTTTTTTATTTTATTGATTTTAGAGACGGGCAGAGAGAGAGGGAAGGGTGAGAAAGAGTTCTGTTGTTCCGCTTATCCATGCGCTCATTGGTTGGTTGGTATACGTGCCCTACCGGAGACTGAACCTCCAATGCCGGTGCATCGGGACAACGCTCCACCCGAGGGAGCCACCGGCCAGGGCCTGCACGCGCCTCTGACGGCCGCTTCCTGTGACACGGCTGCTGACCTGTGTCAGAGGCCCCAGGTCTTCAGGGGAGAGGCGGCCTTCCCACGGGTGGGCGGCGCTGGGGGCTCAGGGAGGGTCAGATGGGGTTTCTTGTTAAGTGCACCGGAGAGTGAAGGACCAGCACCCCTAGCTTAGCCCTCCCGCCCCACACCTCACACACACATACTTTCCCCGATCACATACATGACGCGTACAAGTTGTTAAAAAAAAAAAAATCAAATAGCAAAGAAATATGAAAACTGGAAAAACATTCTTGCTTTACTCAATGTATCTCAGACCTCGCGCCCCCACTCCCCGCCCCGTGGGCAGCCCCCTCTGTCCCTGGGCAGGACTTGGTTCCTAAGAGCGCACGGGGCAGACAGACCGGGAGCCTGCCCTACCCGCGGCGCCAGCAACCCACCACCCACCTCCAGAGGCCACAGGCGGCCCCCAGCAAACCTCCCCGCCCTCACGTGTCCAGGGAGATGGGCACTGAGGGACGCTGGAGGGACTTCACGTGCGGTCGGCAGCTGTAACTGGAGACTAGGGGCTGGGGTCCCAGCCCTGCTCCAGCGCCAGGGGCTGGGCCGTTTGTGCAAAGGGGACGGGCCGGTTTGGGGTTTGAAAAGCCCTCTTGCTTCACCCCCATTCCTCCTCGTGTTAAAAACCAGCGTCCTGGCTGTCCCAGAGGGGCTGTGACCGGGGCTTTGGCACGCTGTGCCGGGAGGCTCTACCACCCCGTATCCTGGTGGGCCGGTCGTGGTGGGGGCTCCCACGTCCAGCCGGCAGCCTGGCAGCCTCCCCCGAGGGAGACCCCACGGGGCACAGAGGAGTGAGGGCAGAGAGGCTGTGCCCCGCAGCCGTGCCCGGGGACCGCCACCCCTCGCTCCCGGCCTGCTGTCAGTTCCAAAGGGGTGTCCGGGGAGCCCCCCGGGGGAGCAGGGGAGAGGGCGGGCTGCGGGCCCACCCTCGGGGACTGAAATCCCAGAGGTGCCGCATGCAATCGCCGCGGGGGACCTCGTGGGAAGTTAGCCCCCAGCACGACGTGGAAGCCCAGTCTACAGAGAGGGGAGAGCGAGGGCGGGTCCTCCGGCCCGGCTGCAGTCTTGGGCGCCCCATCTGGCTGGATGGGAAGTTCAGCCTCCACCCAGAAGAGGAGCCTGAACTCCACGTAAAAGAAAAGTTAGGCGGGGTGAGCTGTAAGCTTTTTTTTTTTTTTTTAAACGCGAAGTGATCGAACCCGGCGCCCCTCCGCAATGGTTCCTGGGACTCGGCCAGGTGCGGGCACCTGGGCAGGGAAGGGGACGCTGGAGGGGGCCCTCGGCCCCCGGCCGGGCCCTGCCCCTCAGTGCGCGCTCGCGGGGGGCTGGGGGCGCCGCGCGCGCCCGCCCCACGTCCGCTCCCGCCCGGGCCGGCCCCTTCCTCGCTGCGACTCGCCGGCTGTCCCCACCCCCTCGCCCGCGGCGCCCAGTGGGAGGCGGGGGCCGGCCTGGCCGAGCCCAGCGCCGGGCTCTGATTTGCTGCGGGCGCCGGGGATCGACAGCCTCCGCGGGTGCCTTCCAGCAGAGAGGGAGGGAGGAACCGGGGGAAAAAGTGCGGGGCGCCCCAGGCGAGGTCGGCACTCGGAGTCCCCGCGGCTCGCGCAGGACCTCACTCGAGCGCAGCGCCCACGGAGAGCGGGTCGCGGGGCGGCGGCGGCGGCCAGGAGGGAAGAGCCGGAGTCGGAGGGGCTGCAGGAGGCGAGGACAGGCGAGCCGATCGGGGTCCCGGCCGCCCCGCGGGCCAAGGTCGAGCCCCGCCGCCCGTGGGCGAGCGCGCCCGCCGCCCCGCGCCGGAGAGCCGCCGCCACAAAGAGGACGGGCCGCGCCTGCTCCCCATGACTTCCTGAGGTCGCGACTGCCCCGCCGAGTCCGCTGCCCGGGCCGCGCCCCGCGCCCCCGAGCGTCCCGCGCGCCCCGACCCGCGCCCGCCGGCATGGACGTCCACACCCGCTGGAAAGCGCGCAGCCCGCTCCGTCCGGGCGCCCCGCTGCTCTCCCCGCCGCCGCCGCTGCGGCCACTGCTGCTGCTGCTGCTGCTGTGGGCGCAGCTTCCGAGCCGCGCAGGTAAGGGCGCTCGGGCGCGGGGGCGCCGGCGCGGCTGCAGGGCGCCGCGCGGGCCGGGGGCGGCTGTCAGCGGGTGCGGGCGCTGGCCTCTCCCGCGCTTGCCCCCTCATCGCCCCTTGGGCTGTGGGTCTCACGGGCTGGCACTCCCGGGGGCCCGGGAGAGGGAGCCGCGCCAGCACAATGCCCCGCGCGCCAAACGCGCAGGCCGGGTGGGGCTGGCGCGCCAGCCGGGCCGGCCGGCTGCGCGTGGGATCGGCCAGAGGGTTATCTGCGAGGCCGGCAAACTTTTGTCCCCAAACTTTGCATTCTCTGCCTCACATCCCACTTCTGGCCCGCAGAGCCCTGCAGAACTTTCTCTCCTGAAAACCGGGAAGGGTCGCCCCCTAGAGTCACAGCCGGTCAATTCTTGGGGTGGGGGACGCTGGGGGGAACCCCCGAAGCCTGAGCCCCCAGTCGGGCACTTGCCCTCAAGCGCACTCTCCTTCAGCCTCTAGACCGCGGCGGTGGGGCTTTGCCTCCCCAGGGAGCGGGGCCTCTCCCAGTCCTGCCCACCTAAGAGCTCAGGGGTCCTGGGAACCCTGCGGGTGGGGGTGGTCCACCAGCCCAGCTCCCAGTCCCACCCTGAAATCCCCGAGCTGCCGGGAGGCGGTTTTCCCTGGGTTTGCCCCCTGGAGACGGGCTGGTGGAGCAAGGCCAGGGGATGGTCTTGGAGCCGGGACTGAGCGGCTCGGGGGCTGTGCAGACGCGGGCACCGTCTGCCAGAGGTCTGGCCTTAGAAGGAGCCTTCTCCCCAGGGATCTGGCACTGACCCAGTGCCTGCTGCGGGCGCGGCAGCTCCGGCCCCGTTCCCTGATGGGACCGGGGCTTTCTAAGCATGGCCTTCGGTGGCTACCTGTGGGCTGGGCCCCCCACACACCCTCAAACATTGGCAAGCCCCCCACTTCCCTATGAACAGGTAGGGAGACGAGGCAAAGAGCTGCTGGGAAAAGTGACAGGCGGGTCACGGGGCAGGGGGAGAAGGGACCACCTCACCGCCGCCCCTTCTGCCCCGCTCGTAGTCTGGAGATGTGCGGAAGAATGAGTTTCCATGTTTCACTTGCCAGGGAAGGCTCGCTTCCCCTTTTTCCTGGCACAGCGAGTGCTTGTTGGGCCACGGAGGGCGAGCAGGGGGCAGGGTGCCCAGCCCATCGGCGCTGGGACCTGCGGTCTCACCCCGGGCTGCCTCCATCGTGCCCGTGAGCCTGGGCTGGCCGGCCGTGTTCCTCCCGGGTCCCCGGGAAGGTGGCGTGCAGCGGGGCGGGCGATGTGGTCTGGGGACTCAGCCCTGTCCCAGCTCCTCGGATGGGCTTTCTCCGGGGATCTCAGGACCCAAAACCTGGGGTTGGGTGCCGCCTGGGCGTGGGGTTGGCTGCTGGCTCCCCATTGCTGCCCCCTGCCCGCCTCCCCGGCTTCTTTTTTGGTCCCCCTTCCTGACGGAGGTGCGGCGGTGGAGGCTGAACCCCAGAGGTGGACCCTGGCTGGGGAACCGGACGTTTTGTCACGTGAAGAAGCCACTTCTCCGGTGGCTTCCACAGGCCTCGCTCCACCGCCCAGGGTGGGACTGTTTGGGAGCCGTGGTCAGTGCGTGGCCAGGGAGGGCGGCTGTCCCCTCGAGATGCAGGGAGGCAGAACGGGTCACCAGCCAGCGCCTCTCCTTCTCCCCATTTCGGGGTGTGCCAGATGCTCTCCGGGTTTTCCCTGAACACGGCTCTTTCTCCTGCCTCCTTCTTGGCCAAGTGTGTGGGGGAATGAAAAGTAAGATCGCGTTTGGGGCCGGTGAACATTGTAACGGGCAAAAGAAGAATATGTGAAATGAAACATGACCCCAATATTTGGAAATTGAGGTCATCTCCTCCTCACGCCATTGGCTGGCCCCGGCCACGTGACTGCTTTTTGCAATGATTTGGGGGAAGACTCATCCAAATTTGGTGGGACTTGACCGAGATCAAATGGTTAAAATTTTCTCTGACTCAGTCAAGTTGGCCGGACAGACACCCTTTCCATCCCCCCTCCTCCTCCCCACGGAGGAACAGTGGGTGGGAGGAGCGGAGGAGCCCAGCCCAGTCCCGGGCCTGTTCCACGCCGGCTCCAGATTTCGGCGGCTGGAGGGCTCGGCGCTGCGGTCGCTGCCCAGCAGTGCCGCCCGGGCGCCCGGCGGCGGCCCCGGCAGGCGTCCCTCCCCCAGGCCCAGGCGCAGTTTCTCCTCTGATGTTCCTGCCTCGGGCCTGTTCTTGGGGTGCTGGCCAGAGCCTGCCCGCCACCCCGCCCTTCAGATATTTCTGGATTCTCACCGCGGCCATGCCCTTCGCAGAGCACGGCTGAGGCCGCCCCGCCCCGGCCTTTTGGCTGCCTGGCGCTGTCTCCCATGGTCCCTGCCTCCTCCCTGGGTCGCAGGCCTTTTCGGGTGGAGCAGAGGCATGTGGGAAACAGTCGCCCACGGCTGTCGCCCCCAGGGCAACAGAGCGGCAGACCAGCCTGGAGCCCCCCGGAGGGTCCGGGATGAGTCACCAGATCCCCGAGCGCTCGCCTGGCCGCACGAAGGCCAAGCCCACACCATCTCATCGGATCCTCACACGGCCTTTGGCCAGGGCGGGGCTGGCTGGTGTGCAGCGAGGCCCGGGAAGCGGGGAGCAGGGACCCCAGGTTCTGGGTCTGTCTGACCTCTGTGCCTGGGCCCCGAGTGAGCTTCTCCCTCCTTCCTGCCCTGCAAGGCCAGGCCTTGGTGTCTCTGTCTTGTCGGAGTTTTGCCTTCTTACCGCACATCCCTCAGCATCAGCTCGCCCCTGGGAGAGGCCCAGCGCGGGCCCCGAGCTGCAGTCTGTTCTCGGGGCCCAGCCCAAGTATGGCCTGGGGCGAGCGAGGGGCTCCGTGTGGCCGGCAGGGAGTTTCTGTTCCTTCCTCCCTCCACCCTTCTTTTTTGTTGGAATGACTCCCAGGGGACCAGCTGCCTGTGTCCCCGGTCCCCGGTCCTTGTCTTGGACCAGGCCCTTCTCCCACCTGCACGGCCTGCTGGCTCCTGATGGCTTTTTCCTCTGCACCCCGGCCTGGAGGGTGTCACCAGGATCGTGGCGAAGGTGGCAGGTCCCCTCTCCAGGAGTTCGCGGTCCGGTGGGAGGCCCCCATGTGGACCTGGCTCATCTCACCGTTCATTTGCACGCCTAGGGCCCTTTAAAGCAGTCGGGAGGGTGGGTGCCCTTCGGGGAGATCTGAGGAAGCCTCTTGGGGCGGGGGCGGGGGGTCGCTGGACTTGGCCTCGCCCTTCCTCCTCGTGCCCTTCCTTTTATCTCAGAAACGCACCAACGCTCTCCTTAGCAGGTGCCCCCGTCCCTCTCTGGGACACGCCTCCTGCCTGGCCGGACACGCAGGCTCCGCTGCAGGGCTCTCCTGGGCTGGGCCGCTTCCCTTGGCTGGAAAGCCCCTCATTAACTCGGTTGGCGGGGTGCCCGCAGCGCCACGCTTGTCCCGCTTGTCCCGGGATTGCCATGCTGTGAGAAGGGAGGAGTCTCCGAGGGGGACAGTGGGGGGGCCTGGGGGGGCCTTAACCCTTTCTCTGCCCCCACACGTGAGGCCCGGCTGTTCTGCAGACAGACCGACAGAGGCCGGCAGCCTTGGCTGGGAGCGTGAGGGTCCCTGTACTGGGTAACAGGCAGTTGGGCTTGGGAGAGGACCGTCCTTGGCACGATCAGACGCCGAACCCCCGCGGCAGTGTGGGGACTTGCGAGGTCGTACGAACTGCTTCTGTTCCCGAGACGTGCCGTGGGCCGCTGGGCTGGGGCCAGTTGCGGCCCCGGCCTTCCCCTCCCGAAGAGGGAGAGAGTCGCGGCTTTGGCTCTGAGGGGGGCTGGGGAAGACTGGTTGAGGGGTCACCTGGGAAGAGTGTTGTGAAGTGCGTGATGTATCCTGAGCGTCTGGCCGCTCTCTTTGGTGGCCTTTGTGCAGAGGGAGAAGGCACCGGGTTTCCAGGCCTCTTTCGACGCAAGTGTCCCCGAGGAGCACAGCTGGGGAGGGGCGCCCTGGAGGCTCCAGTCGCTGGGAGACCCGAGGGCCCCGCCGTCGCCAGCCGCGTGGGTCCAGCTGCCCCCTCCCGGCTTTGGCCCCTGGCCTGCTGGGAGGCCTTCCGCCCCTGGGGTCCTGTACTGGTCCGGGAGGCGTGGAAATGCTTCACAAGCCCACTCGAGGTTGTATGCGTGTGCATGTGAGTGCGTGCACGTGTGGACGGGCGGGTCGTGGATGTGCACGCGTGTGCGAGCCTGCTGTGCAGACCCAGACATGTCCCCCTGTACCGTGCCCCACCCTGCAGAGGGGAGACGTGGCCACGAAGCCTGCTGGGCCACCAGGAGGCCCGGGCCCCGCCCTGCAGGGCCAGCTGGGTCTGATCATTTGACGCGTCTTTTTTTACTCACAGGAGGGCGATGTTATATTATGGCTTCTGCCTGCCCCTCTATTTATATTCTCCATATAATCCGCTTCGCCGGTGTCAGCGCTTTGCCAAATGTTCATCTGAGGATTTCGGGCCCAGCTGGAGATCCTGGGATCTGCAGGCGGGACCGGCCTTGGCCCTCCTCGTGGGCAGGGCGGCCGCCACGACGGGACAGGGAGGGAAGACCAGGGTGTGGGGCGAGGGGCAGGGGCAGGCGGCCAGGTTCGGGCCCTGGCGCCGCCCCCGCTGGCCGTGCATTCGGCCTCCCGTGTGTGCCTCAGTTTCTCTGTCTGTGAGAAGGGGCGATGATTGTCACTTTGGAAGGATTTGGTGAGGGTTCAGTACGTAACGTGTACGATGCACAGAGGTAACCCCATCACCAGTACGTAACGTGTATGATGCACAGAACCCCATTCTCTCCTTCCCGGGCCCCAAGGCAACACGAAGCAGAGGACCCGGGGACAGGCACCGAGCTCCTGGCTCTGCTCGCCGGCTGGCTGTGTGTGCCACCCCCGTCTGTGAACGGCCATACCAGTGCCTC